CCGCCTCTGGTGCGCCCCCTCCACTTAGGGGCCCCTGCGGTCAGGCCAGCCCCATGTGGGTGTTCACCCTCTGCCCATCCATGTTCCTGCCCTCTCCATCCCGTGGCCCCCACACCCAGTCCCCACTTCTGTCGTGGCCTCTCCTAGCTCCACGGGCTTGTGCAGAGTCCTCTGCTCCGCTTTTTGGTTCCCAGACCTTGGCCCCGGGGACCCCAGCCCGACCCCCATCCTTCCTCCTGCTCTCTCAGCTCCTCCCTCCACTCGCCACGCCCACACACACACAAGACAGCAGCGAGGGCGGGCTCCGTGTCCCCTCTGCTCTGCCAGCCCTGAGAGCGAGGGGCAGGAGCAACAGGTTACCTGTGGCACCTCCACGGCAGACATGGAGAAGACGTGGAGGCAGAAGATCTTGGAGCCGTTGTAGCCCACCACGAAGCCCTGCAGCTTCTGCTGGTGCACGGGGAAGTTGCTGGCTTTGATGTTGAGGTAGCCTCCCCCCGAGAAGCAGAGCATGTCTTCACACTGCGTGTTCCAGGCCACGCTGTTGGCGTTGGGCTCCTGAGGGACAGGGGAGGAGCCTGTGAGAACCGGCAGCTGGCCAGGATGGTGGCACCATTCCCGGCCCAGGCTGACGCCCTCTCCAAGACTCCCACTGACAGTAGGCCATGGGACGAGGAAAGGGAGACCGGAACGAGGCAGACGGCGGTGAGCTCCGTTGGCATTTTTCAGTAACAGACATCACTTCTGAAGAAGATTCCTTCCCCCAGTATTCATGACAGTGGAGTAAGGGGACAATCAGCCAGGGGGCTCCACTTCTGGGAAAGAAACCTACACCTCAAGCTCAGAAGGCTTAAAGGGATATATTCCCAAGGAGTAACTGAGATTGTTTCCGGAAGGCTAGAATTTGGGTGGCCTTGACTTTCTGTTCTTTTTTTAAATTTTTTCGGTTTGTTTGCCTGAACTTTTTGTCATGAATATCTACTGTTTTGTTTTGGTTTATAATAGGAAAAAACTGACTAACTAGTAGGTGGCATGGCGGCTGAGGGGCTGGATTCCCACGTGGCTGACTGTGGTTCAAGTCTCAACCCAGTAGCTTAAAAATCACACGTGTGGGGAACCAGCAGTTAGCGTAATGGCTATGTCGCTGGACTCCCACATAGTCGACCGCGGTTCGTGTCCTGGACCCGGTGGCTTAAAACTCACGCCGGGCGTGTGTGCCCAAGATCCCGAGAGGAGAATGGAGGAGAAGGGATTGCGGTGTGACCATCCCCCCTGGGGGGTGATTTGTCGCTTTCTGTCTCTATGTCTCTCTCTGTCTGTCTGGCGAGAGCACGCGCCCTACAGTGAAAATCTCTCAAAAAAAAAAAAAATCACACGTGTGTATGCGTGCGCTCGAGCCCTAAGAGGAAAATGGGAGAGAAGGGAATATGGCATGGCCATCCCTCTGGAGGGTGATTTCTCACTTTTTCTCTCTCTCTATCGTCAGTGAGCGCACACACCCTGTGACAAAAAAAAAAAAAAAAAAAAGAAGAAATAACAGTGAATTTTTTTTTAATAAGCCATAGATTAGTTTTGTTTGTTTTTATTGGAGAGGTTTTTGCTATAGGGCACATGCGCCCACCAGAAAGACAGAGAGAGACAGAGAGATAGAAAGCGAGAAATCACCCCCCGGGGGGATGGCCACGCCACAATCCCCTCTCCTCCATTCTCC